ACAGAACCCAGCTGGACTCCTTTATGAGTAGACATGCAGTAGCCTTCTCGGTAGGCATCACAAGTGTACTTGCACAAATGCGTGTGCACGCACACATCTGCAAAAACCACTTCAGCTCACACAAGGAGGGGCACCCAATTTTTACTGATATACTAAAGCGAATGACAGAGTGAAGAAAATCCTGCCTCTGTTTGCAGCTGCTCACCTGCTTAGCAGCAATGTTTGCAGCTGTTAAGGTAATCAGGCACCTGACTAGTTTTAGCCAATTTTTTAAAATAGCAGTTTAACTAAAGAAAAGATGCAGCCATCATCTTCCTGGGTGCAAAACTACATGTGTCCTCAGTTTCGATGCAACCTCGTGTGGGGAGCGAAAGTTAGAAATTGCCTGGGTTCACACATCACCGTGAACAACCCGGTGTGGTTTCCTCGGCAGGTGGATTTTTGCCTGGATTTACCAGTCCGATGATTGTGTGGTTCCCATGGCAACAAGGTTTCCATGCTCCTCATTTTCACCACACATCCCAGAAGCCCCCACAAACAAAATCTCTTTCCTTGTGCTTTTATTCTCTATGGAACTCAGCGGCTTTGTCTTGACTGGGCTGCTGAGGTTTTGAGGCAGGTTCTCACCCTGCCAACTCACAAGTGTACTTGAGCCTCTGAAAGGTTTCCTAGTCATTCTATAAAAATATTATTTCCAGTTTCCATTCTTTAAAAATACTATTATTAAAAACAAAATAAACCATTTTGTTGCAATTCCCCCCTTCTTCCTTCATGCATTTATCCACATTCTCCATTTCTGAAAACAAACATGGAAATAAGCACTTCCGTCATCCAACAGGAATAAAGCAGGTGATGACACATGTGTTGCTAGGGGGCTGAGGGAAACAGAGACCTGAGCAGTCACTTTTGCAGCTGCTCTTTCCACAGGACTCTGAGATGCTTCCACTCCGAGAGAGGCAAACTGACTATCCTGGGTTGAAGACAACCAGAGAAGCCACAGCTTCTAACTTCTAGGCATGAAAACCTTAGAACACACCATCGATTCTCCCCATGATTTGCAGAAACAAAAGTTACCATGCAGAAATCCCATGACTGGGTCCAGACAACCCTAGGTAAAAATGACCCTGGATTCCCATGACATTTGAACCTGGCATTGATGATTTCCAGGACACTTCCAGTATGAGAAAGGAGTTCGGCAAGGCTGTATACTGTCGCCCTGCCTATTTAACTTATATGCAGAGCACATCATGAGAAAGGTGGGGCTAGATGAATCACCAGTTGGAATTAAGACTGCTGGGAGAAATATCAACAACCTCAGATATGCAGATGATACCACTCTCATAGCAGAAAGTGAAGAGGAACTAAAGAGCCTCTTGATGCGGGTGAAGGAAGAGAGTCCTAAAGTTGGCTTGAAACTCAACATTAAGAAAACTAAGATCATGGCATCCGGTCCTCTCACTTCCTGGCAAATAGATGGGGAAGAAATGGAGGTAGTGACAGATTTTATTCTCCTGGGCTCCAAGATCACCTCAGACAGGGACTGCAGCCAAGAAATTAAAAGACGCTTGCTCCTGGGGAGGAAAGCTGTGGCAAATCTAGACAGCATACTAAAAAGCAGAGACATCACCCTGCCAACAAAAGTGCATATAGTCAAGGCTATGGTTTTCCCAGTTACAATGTATGGTTGTGAAAGTTGGACCATAAGGAAGGCTGAGCGCCGAAGAATTGAGGCCTCTGAATTGTGGTGCTGGAGGAGACTCCTGCGAGTCCCTTGGACAGCAAGGCGATCAAACCAGTCAGTCCTAGAGGAGATCAACCCTGACTGCTCTTTAGAAGGCCAGATACTGAAGATGAAACTCAAATACTCTGACCACCTAATGAGAAGGAAGGACCCCCTGGAGAAGAGCCTAATGCTGGGAACAATAGATGGCAAAAGAAGAAGGGGGCGGCAGAGGATGAGGTGGCTGGATGGAGTCACTGAAGCAGTCGGTGTGAGCTTAGATGGACTCCGGGGGATGGTGGAGGACAGGAAGGCCTGGAGGAATGTTGTCCATGGGGTCGCGATGGGCTGGACACGACTTTGAGACTAACAACAACATTGATGACTTCTTGGTATGTCTTTTTTTGTAGATTGTGTGAAAAGCTACCAGACCAACAGTGAGGAAAGCATGGACAAGTCTCCCCATTTCAGTATATTCAGAGTGATCCAAACAGTTTCTGAACAGCATCCTTCACCTATTTCCACTGCAGCTGCCACTGGCTAACTATTATCTTTTCTATAAAAGGAACCGAAAAAGCTCTTATTTCTAGATCTTCTTCCTGCACTGTCTACACAGTTTGCCATGGTATCATGGATGACATAAGACTAAATTTGCATCTTATCTGAAATCATACAAAGTCCAGCTCCAGTAAGTTGAAGGCACATTTGGAGCGTGGCTAGAAAGGGTGTCAGACACCTCCGCTGCTGTGGGAAGTGACAGCCTAACTCTATTTATCATGGCATTCCTTTGCTACTTCACTTGCTGTATCTGAGATACAACCAATGTGTGACAAACAAGCTGCTCTAAACCAGCTTCAGCTTCCCCCTTGGCAATGCACTGTCATAGTAACCAAACAACTGGGTCATCTCTAGCCTCATTTTGTTCCGTTGTCACTGAATCAATTGGGGGATAGGAATGGCCACAACGCCAGTGTAAGGGACTGTGAATTTGTGCCACTGTTTCAAATAGAAGCTGCTTTCGCTGCCTGGCCCAGTTCTTAAGACAATAAAAATGCATTGGACATGATCGTTTGCCAGGGAGTGGATGCTCTGGAGAGACAGCAGTGCTGTCACGATTTTTTAAGTGCCTCGTCCTGAAGGAAGCTGCCATCTTCTTTCCAGGGGCAGTCCTACAATTAGGCACAGCCTAAGAGATGGCCACCTCAGCTGGCAGATACTGGTGGGATGAGAAGCAGTGGTAAAGTGTTGGGAGGACAAAGTTGCACCTGCCAAACAGAGTGGCCACTTCAGAAGAGGAAATGCATCATACAAGAGGCAAAAGAGGACACTGATTTGCATATACTGTGATGTCTGCATATATGTAAATTTAGAATTTTAAAAAATCATTTAAATAGAAATACAGTGCCTCTCACCATAGTGTGCAAAATTGTGACCAGGTGATTTGACTGCTTTGTTTGGTCTGCACTTCAGGTGGTAACTGCTAATTGACAATTGCAAGCTTTTCTCTCTGAAGGCCCTGAGTTAACAAAAATGCCTGGCATTGGTTGTAGTTGGGGTCATTTTTGACCCCAAATGTGCTGCAGGCACAAAAAATGCTGCATTTAGAAAGCTTTTGTTCTGGTTGAAATTTTCTCCCAAGAGGTTTCACTCAACGTAACAATGGTTTTCAGCACACAGCAAGAGCAGGGAGTCTAAGGTGTAATCTTTCCTGAGGCTATGTAAAATGAGAAAAACTGCAAACATTTCTTGACCCATTGATTGTTTCCCTGCATAATAATAGTTTGGCAATCTAACTTGAAAAAAATCATAGCATAACTTTCCTTGAATGGATTTTAATTCTGTTTGCCTGAGGTTTTAGCTAAGAATCTTAGCTTTTTAAAAAATCACAGGATAGTCTAAATCAAACCTTTTGCTCCTTTGTTTGGGGCCTCTTATTTGTGGTTTGAAAAGGCATAAAGAACCCTGTAGAACAATTCCTATGGAGACATTGGGGTACTTTGTGCCCTGGGCATTGTGGGGGGTGGAGAGAGACATGAAATGCAGCGGGCTGAAAGACAGCAACTTTTTAAACTAGGCATTTGGGACAGAAGATTTAATCATGCACTCTGGTCTATTTCTGCATTTAGAACTGTGTGTATGGCGATGCAAGCATCTTGCTGTCTTTCCCCACCTTAAGGGCAGGACCCAGAAGGGTGGAGGAGAAAGCCACTGTTGCTGCATTTCCAGGCCTTTGCTGAGCCACAGTGGCCACCATCTTTCTTCCCTAAAAGCCACCACAGCTGCTTTTCTTGGAACTTGGCCCGTGCAAGCTAAACAAACAAACTTATGCCACAGCCAGCCATTGTGGGCCTGCCAGGGCGCAGGGGCGGCAGGGCTTTCGCCGCGACAGCCAGGCGACCGTTCTAGATCAGGTGTGCCTGACCCTGCAGTGCCTCGGACTTCCCTTCCTGTGAGCCCCAGCCAGCCCGGCTAAGGGTCAGGAATGCTGGTGGCAGCAGTACACACCGCCTGCAGTGCCCCAGCAAGGCCTGCCAGGGACGCTGTGCGAACACAAGGAGTCCTCCAGGAAACCCGCGAAGAGGGCCGGTGCGACCGGGAGGTCGGCTTGGTCCTCAGAGGCAAAAGGCCAGGATGCAGTTTGAAGGCAGGAGCCAAACGCAGCGGAGGCGGCTTGCGCCTGGTAGGACCGGCCGGCCGCCCTCGCACTTGGCCGACACGCCGCTCTCTGCTGCCCCCTCCCGGCCGGGGCAAGCCAAGAAGCCCTTTTCTCACCCGCGCCGCGCGCATCCAGGTTCAAAAGCGGGCCTATCTTAGGACGACGTCTCAGTTGAGCACTTGGCGTCCCGGGGCGTCCTTCCCTCCCCCGGCCCTGCACCTGAGCGGTGGAGGTGTGCGTGGCTCGTGCAACAAGTGGCGGGGCGGAGGGTGGCGGGTGCAAAGCACGAGCGCCGCGCCCCGTTTCTCGCCGATTTCTTTTCTCCTCGAGTCCCCTCTCCGTTGCCTGCCTTTCCTCACGTGCCGATCGCAGGACTCCGGCACGGGGGCGGCGCGCACGTGAAGACGCACCCACTCCTTTCTGCTCCGTTCCTCCTCCTCGGAGGGTAAGAGCTTTGTGCGAAGTGAGGAGGGGCTTCGAGCGCCCCTTCTCCGCCGACGGACTCAGCCCTCCTCCCGCTGCTGCTGCTGCTGCTGCGGAAAAAGGGGGGCGGACCCCCTCCCTTTTCCTTCCTGGAAAAAATACGCGCGCGCGCGCGCGAAATGCAACGCCTCGCTCGCGGAGTCCGAGGGCAGCCTCGTTGGCCGATGGAGCGGCAGCCCGGCCCGCTCGGGCGCGCTCCGGCTTCCCCCTCCTTGGGCGTGTGAGGTGGGGCATGACCCAACAGGCGCGCTTGTGGGGATGGATCTCCAAGCGGTCAGATTCTTGTGCTGCTGCTGTTGGCTTCTCCTCTCCGGTCTGCCTCATACCCAAGGTAGGATCGACCCCCGGGGGAGGGTGATTTGAGCGCACACGCATCCCCCCCCCCGGGCGGCTCTCCCTGCAGACCTCTTCGGGCGAGCGCTGCGAGCGGCCTCCCCCGCCCACAGTACAAGCCGGAGCGTGTCTCCTCGGAAGTCAGCCCCACACTGGAGACATTCGGAAAGAAACCGGACAGCCGTCTGAGTGGGATGGTGTAAACTGGTGTCCTGCACTGAGCAGTGGGTTGGACTCGGTGACCTGCGTGGGCAAACCAACTCTACTATTCTGTGACTCTATGATCTTATCACCTCTGTCTTGGGAGGTGCAAGGCGGTCCTCTATCTCCTTTCCTGGGAGTAAGTCGCCTCCAACTCAGTAGCGCTTACTTCTGAATAAACGTGCCCATCATTGCACTCCTGTTCCATTAAACGCCAGGGGATTTACTTCTGATTTGCCACGAATAGAATCGCAGCGCCAGTAGCCATAAACTGGGCTTTCTCTCTTTGGGAATAGAACGGGATCCTGCTAGTCCTGTACTTAGATAGGAAGAGCCCTTTTTAGAGAGTTTTGTTCAATGCTTTCCTCCTACAATTTGAAAAAGTGTGTGTGAGGCACGGGGTGAGGAGAGAGAAAGAGTAGTTTGCATTAGATTCACACACTTGTTCCCAGTTTAATGTACCAATCCGAATTAACCCCATTTCCAGTCTGGAGTAATACAGTTGTTATTCATAATCTCCATTAGGAAATAAACTCTATTTTTCATACATCATGTCTTTGCTCATAAGGGAGGTTGGGAATTGTGCATTCAGGGACTGAACCGCAGCTGCCAAAGAGGTAGCAATTCTAGGGACATTGCAAACTTTCACCCAAACACAGTCCTATTTTTAACAGAATCAAACAGTCGTTACTATTTCCCAGAAAGCTTTTCTACTGGCAATTTCTTCCAATTACAATAATAAATCCATCCCAATTCAGTGAACTACTGTCTAGCCTGTGTCCTGCATCATCTTCTGCCTCTGCTGTAATTTATGTCTGGTTAGGTTCACTACTTAAAATAAACCCTGATGCTTTCAGCAAGTTGGTAAAGTGCTGGATGAATACATTTGCTTTACCTAATAATATGAAACACAGGTTAGATAAATTTGCTTGTCTTTGAATTATGTCATATAGAAAAGTTACATTTATTGTTTCAGAATTCAGCACTCCTAAGCCCCTTTGATTTCAGTGGGAGAGATGTGGTTATACGCTCTTAACTCTGCCATTGAAATGGAGCTCAAGACTGCGGAACTTTTATGTGCTAATTTTCTGAGTAATTATGAATAGGATAGTATTGTCAGCATGCTGGTTTTTCATGCATTTGCACTTATATGTGCAAAAGCACACAGAGAAATCTGAAATGATAACATTTGGTTCTGTTAAATGTTTATCATTTTACACCCAATTTATTGTGTTTGTGATCAGCTGCAAACACTGGCTTGCAGTAGCTCAGCTCCTATGTAGAAAAATGAATTAGCCTTGAAATAGTCATGTCCTTTAAATAGATCATATGTCTTGTGAATAAACTTTGGTTAATCAGATAGATAAGATCTGATATGGCAATTTCCCCCATTATATAGCAGAAGCACATCCAGTCCGGGTGAGTTCAGTGGGTTTCAATGCAATCCTTTACATATGTACGCAGATGTAAGTGCCATTCTGTTTGGTGAGGCCTACTCCAAACTGTTTGTGTGCAGGGCCTCAGCTTTATGCCTTTTAGCACGCACAATGCCTGCACATCATGTGTTTAGGGAATTCCACATAGGAATCTTATTCTACAAAATCAGCAATGCAGTGAGCTTCTGATGACTCTTCCTTGTCTGAACCAGTTTTACTGAGTTTTTCTCAGTGAAACTCCATTGCTATCATGCTGCAGAATATTTGGAAGCCAATTGGGGGCTGGTAGGAATCCCTTTGTATATACAGCTCGCATGCATAGTCCTTGAAGTAAGTTCCCTTGAAATCTGTGGGATGTCTTTGCAAGTGAAAGTTTCAAGTCAATTGATACAATCAAGCATGACAGCATGACTTTTGCTGGATGTAGATGACATCTTGGTGCGACAGCAATTTTCATAATTCAGAAGGTTCTAGCCTATTTTGTTTTCCGCTCCAAAACTAGTTGCAAGGGCGGTCGGTAGCAAACTGTTGCAGCATCGAGTGCCTACAGTTTAGGATTCCAGGCTCTTCTCCTCCTGTCTCCTCATATTCAGACCCTCTTCCCTAGGTGCTAGTCCATGAGCCCATATCGAACCAGCCTTATGCCAAGTACACTGGCTACCAGTGACAGTCTGGGACCAATTTAAAGTGCTTGTACTTGCATATAAAGTCCTAAACAGGGTCCTGGGTGCCTCAAGGATTGCCTGCTCCTGTATGACCCTACCTGTCCCTTACGATTGAGCCAGGAGGTCCTTCTTAGGGAGCCATCCCTTACGGCGGTGAGGGGGATGTTAGCAAGAAGCAGGGCCAGTGTGGTGTAGTGGTTAAGAGCTGGGACTGGGACTCAGGCGATCTGGGTTCTAGTCCCCACTCAGCCATGGAGCCAACTGGGTGACTTTGGGCCAGTCACAGACTCTCAGCCCAACCTACCTCACAGGGTTGTTGTTGTGGGGATAAGATGATGGAGGAGATATAAGCTGCCTTGAGCCCTTTGTAGGAAAAAGGCAGGATATAAATTGCAATATAAATAAAATAAAAAGCAGTTGCACCCCACCTCTGGAATAGGCTCCCGAGAGAAGTGCACCTGGCACTGATGCTGCTAGCATTTTGGTGCTAGGCAAAGACTCACCTTTTCTCCAGGTATTTTAAGAATGGATTTGAATGGCTGCTGGTTTTTATATTTACCCCATGGTTGGTTTCAGTGGATTTTAGTTTAAATTGGTTTATTTAATGTTTTATATTATATTATAATTTTGATATATTATCTTTTATATTTGGATTATGTGTTAATATGTTTTGAATATGCTCATTTAATATTATTGATTTTAGAATGTTGTGTTGTTCTTATATTGTGAGCCATGCAGAGAGCCCAGATATGAGCTATTGTAGAGGTGTGTAAATTCATTAAATAAATATGTTGCAAATCTTATTATTTTAGGAGTTGATTGCAAACCTGGTTGTCATCCAGTAAATGGATTTTGTGAAGTTTCAAGTGAATGCAGGTAAATTAACCAACAGTATTTTTGCTCTTGCTTCAATTAATCATGTTTTAATTTTAATTTAGTTGTCAGCAAACAGTGCCTAAGAATAATTTGTCTGAAAAATATGATTTAGTAACAAATGTCTTAATTAGAACTGCATGATTGTTTTTTCCATACTTAATTTATTATACTTGTAGTAATGAACATTTAAAAAAAAAGAATAGCACAGTTTAATATGTGACATAAGAGATTTCCCAACACATTATAACAATAATTACAGCCATAAATGTTGCTGCAGAGAAAGAAATGCATGCAAATAGTGTTATGTAAGACACAATGAATTCCGATTTCTGTGACTCCAGCTTGCACATTCTGCAGCTTGTTTCAGGTCCCCTGCATTTTGCAAACTTGCAGGTTGTATTCCCTCTTTGGGGGTGGATTTATCTGTGCTATTGCAAATTAGCACAAGCACAATGGAATTCTGGTTAAGAAGAAAAGAAAATCCAATTCTTTCAATAAGAAAATGACAAATGATGCCTGGCCATCCTCAAGATGCTGACCGAATGGGTCTAACCAAGTCCGTGCCTCTCTGCCTCTAAATACATGTGTTTAGCACTCGTCCCTTGATCTGGAACTGCATGCAGTCTGGCTCCTACGGGGATTTCATTACAGCATGTCATGTCCCTGCTGGAGGATTTCTCAGAGGAACACCAGAGCCTCCCACTGTTCCTGAGGCTCAAGACCCATCTGGGCCAGAAAGCCGAGAGGAGATTTCAGTCATGCTCACCCAGAACTGATCCCTGCAAGAGTATCACAGGCTGAAGAGGCCGACCAGGCTCCTCAAACTCAGAAGTACCCGGCTGCAGTAATCTCCTTGCTGCTCAGGAGTAAGGGGGCTCCTCAAGAAGAGATGCTTTCCAGAGGCTGTGATAAGCTGCAGCTGGATCCTGGATGGGTTCTGGAAGCTGCTGCTTAAGGAGAACACTTGAGAAGAACAATACCACCCTTTCAACTCTGGCTTCTTGCTACCCAGACCATGTGTTATGACTGATGTGTCATGCTGCTGCTGCAGCCTGGACTCCTTCATTTTGTGTCTGGACTGAGTGGCATGGAGTGGTTGAGGCCCCATCGGTGCGGGGGTTCAAAGACAGGCTGGACATGCACATGGTGGGCATGTCGTGAGCGGAGCCGGCTGGGGCCGAGGGTCAGACTAGATGGCCCAGGAGGCCCCTACTGACTCGCTCTGTTTCTTTGTTTCGGTGACATGTCTTTGCCTGCTCTGATGCACTCCCGCTTTAGCCTGGCTCAGCAATAGTGGGACAAAGCAGTAGCAGTTGTGCTGATCAGCTCTTGGTAGGGAGCAACACAAGGGCCGAATCTGACCCTTCCCTCTTACACACCTGAATAATGTTGCTACTGAGGTTTGTGGAGGGCTCCATATAATGACTGGATCCGGGTTCAAAGCAGGTGATTCTTTATCCAGCAAGAGGTCTGCATTGGAAGCAGGCTTCCACCCAGGTACGGCTGGGACAAGGAACCGCCAGCCTGTGGGGTGGATTCAGCTCATGGGGATTCCTCAGTCTCTTTACAAACTTCCTTCCTAAGCTCTTCCCTCTCTCCTAGGCCCTTGCCAGTGCTCAGTGCTAATGAAAGGTGGCCTTTCTCTAGTGCCATGCAAGAAAAGGCAGTCCTTTTATCCACGCAAAGAGGCACAGGGCTGACTTCCTTCTCTCTACAGGGAGGAAGGAGGCTGATGCCCCAAGGAAGCTGACGGCTCCTGTATCAGTGGGGCTCCTCCTCTCCAAAGAGGCTCATCACCATGGATAGCTCTGAAAAAGCTCAAAATAAAAGCCACAATAGGTAAGGCGCCCCACTGACACAGGAGCCACCATCCTGTCCTGCTGATGACTCCAGGATGTGGAGCTTCAGGGAGTCCCTTCCCTGGTGTCATCCCATGCCCATGGGGCCGGAAAACTTCCCTGGTCATGATCTGCAACCACCACATGTGCTTCCAGAGAAGAATTAGCTTTATCTTTATAGGGTTTTATAGAATGGTGGGCTCTGGACGACACGGCCTTCCATTTGTAACCCTCCTGTATTTTCCCATCTTTTCCAATCTTACCGGGAAAAAAAGTGTTACAGAGGAAATGGCAGACAAATTGCACAGGGCCTTCTGAATGGAAGTGCTCAGAGGGTCCTGTGTAAGGTAATACCCAGTACGGTAGTTTAGAGTCTTGCAGCAAAAATATCTGCATCCTTCTCCTATGCTACTTGGCAAGGAAGGGATAATTCCAAGCATGCAAATTATGCCTTTGGAGGGGGTGGCGTCGCCACTGAAGTGAATGGGGAAGCCTGCATGCTAATGGTCTTACAGGTACTGGAAAGCAGAGATGGTTCTGAATTGGAGTGGTAGAGTGAAACTCTAGAAAAGAATGGATTGTCAGGGCAGGGACTTTGTAGGCAAAAGCCAACTGTATTAGTTAGGCAAGGAACCTAAAATACCATGAAATATTTCTGCAATATTGCTATATTGAGATATTTAAGAATATCTCTGCAAAACAGGAATAGCGGAAAGCCAGTTAATTAGTCTAGAATACTGCTTCCTTTTAAATTATTATTTCTCCAAAATCTTGGTCATGGGATTTTTCCCCTTTGTTTTCTGTCTGTTCATTGTTTTTAGGCATAGGAAGCTGCCTCATCCCAAACCAGGCTGCTGGTCCATCTACCCCAGTATTGGCAACTCTGGCTGGCAGTGTCTCCCTAGGGTTTTAGTCAGGTTCTGTTCTAAAAGATGCCAGGAATCAAATTTGGAACCTTCTGCAAGCAAGGCAGCTGTCCTACCCCTGAGCTATGACCCTTCCCTGCCAAATCAGCAGTTAAATTAAGCAGTCTTGTACTTGGAGTGTCTTGTATGATGGTTTCCAGATTTTGCAAAAGAGATCTTAGTCTGGCTTGTTTTCCTTCTTTCCTTCTTAGGTGTCAGCCAGGTTGGCAAGGCCCTTTGTGTGATCAGTGCATACCTTTCCCTGGTTGTGTGCATGGAACCTGTGCCAAACCGTGGCAGTGCATGTGTGAAGAAGGATGGATTGGCAGCCTCTGTGACACAGGTTTGCCAACAGTTGCCTTTCTGGGTGGAAGAAAAGCAGATCTAGCTGCATCCCACCAAACGGTTACAGCTCCATCTGGTGTTAAAGATCAACAGTTATTTTAATAGTGCTTACTTGTTTCTTTACTTTGTGTTCTTTGCAGTGGAGATGGCTCATTGCTACTTAGAGGATCAGGTACCTGGATAAACAGTGCTCCGACTGCCAGGTGTTTTCTTAAACTTGAAAACTGTTGTGTCCAGTCATCAGCCAGAATTGGTTTAAAGCACCGTACCTGGGGGACTGCTTGGGTTCTGTCTCCAAAGCAACCATAGGTGGTGGATAGATTGGATTGGGACAGTGGAGCCAGGTCTTTGAAGCTCCCCCCGCTCCCCCCCCCCCAGTATTGCTTCCTTGACCAAAATCATGTGCCATCTCCAGAATGGTAATTGGCTCAGTAGTGGGGAGGGGAAGCTTCCTTACCTTGCCTCCCCAGTGGAACTAAGGGTGCTGCCCCCTGCCCACTTCTTGTATGACTGGAAGTGGACTGGGTCAGGCATCTTTTCATGGACTTCCATCTCTAAGATGGGCTGCAACCTGCATTTCTTTTAATACACTAAACGAATTTGTGCAAATCAAGTGGTTTGTGTAACTTTACACCAATCTGTACACATTGTAATAGATTCACATGCTTTTCAGGTGCCAATATGCATTAAACAGGTGAATAATGCATATTGCACAATTTTAAATGGTTTTTTTTAAAGTGCAAACTGTGGCCCATCTTAGACAAGGTGGAATGTGAGATCACATGACTCACATCATAATAACTTGGGGGTTGTGCAGTGCTGGTGAACCAGAATCCAAGCAACCGGGTTGTGAAAATCCATTGGATGCTCAGCCTGCTATTCGATTCCTCACACCTCCCTTAGTGGGGCCAATCAAAAGTTGATCAGCAGCCAGGATACCCAAAATCTAGCTTCTTTCCTCAAGAGCTTGCCTATCATCTGCAGTCTTCATCTGAGGGCCGGTGCTACGGCCTACCAAGAACGTGCATGGGCCCATGGGATGGGCCTTTTCTGCCTTTTAGACTCACCACAGAGGCAGCCATGCCACAGAACCAGCACAGAAACTGGTTCCACTGACCAGCAAATAGAACTGACCTGCGATGGAGTGGAGCCACAGGGTTGTAGGCCAGTACATTGTGAGAATCAGGGACACTGACGCCTGCTGCCTCCAGGCTTTCCTGTTTCCCTCTGAGCTTAAGCTGCAGTCTCCAATAACTTGGAAGAAAACAGATTTTCCTAGCAAAGAAGTTTGGGGTGCCTTGGTCTTGAATTACAAGTCCCATTAGCATGACAAAAGTCAACTCAGATTGATTGTTCAACAAAGAGCCCTTCAGCTTGGGACTTAGTTGTTGGCATGGCTATGGGGAGTCTCATGATGGGGACGTGCATTTCAAAATTTATCACTGCACCACTGGGATGGATGCTCAGTATCTGCACTGAGGAAACCCAGTGTACTGTATGGAGGGGAGGGCCCATCACACAGTGACAGAACGCAAGCTTCAGGGTGTTGGGTCCCAGGTCAACCCTTGCCACTAACATGCGGCTTGCACCTGTTGGGGAGGAATTACAGCTCAGTGGTGGGGCAAGGCTTCGTGTGAAGGCATTCCCAGTTTCAATCCCTGCTTGTTTCTATGCTCAGGGTCACAAGAATGGTAGCCAGGTTGGCAGGGACGACATATGGGGAGAGACTGGGGGAACTGGGTCTTCACAGCCTGGAGAAGAGGAGACTCTGAGGGGATCTTTAGTGACTTTCAGATATGTGAGGGGATGTCATGTGGAGGAGGGCCAGGACCAGGTCCTGTTCTTCCCTGCAGTGGACAGCAGGATGAGTTCCAGTGGGACAAAGCTCAAGGAACCAGGCTTCAGTACTTCCTGATGGTTAAGACCCCTAGGATATGGAATAGGCTTCCAAGGGAGGAGGTGGGAGCCCCATCAGTGAGGGTGTTCAAGGAAAGCTTGGACTATCACATGAGCAGGGCCAGATGGAGTCAGGTCAGGCTAGATGGCCCGGGAGGACCCTTCTGACTCACTTTTTTTCTATGTCTCCAGCTTAGAAAGGGACAGGTGATATGAAAGACCTCCGCCTGGGATGCTTGGGAGCCATTGCCAAGCAATGCCAGTGGCCAAAGAGGCCGTGTCTAATGCAGCAACCTCGTTTCCTTGACATCTCCCATGAAATGCCAGGCGTAGAAGGGTTAGGAAAGCATGCCAGCTGAGACCTCAAAGAGCCGCTAGCAATGTTTGGGGAGATGGGCCAGCAGTCTGACTTTTCATGAAGACGGACCTGCCATGCAGTCATCAGAATATGTGTTGGTTTTTCCGTTGTTATTGCAGATGTTCACCCGTGTGCTTCAAAGCCTTGCACAAATAACTCAGCCACTTGCATAGAGACTGGCAATGGTGGATACATCTGCTTGTGTGCTCCAGGATACACAGGGAAAAGCTGTCATGTGAAAAAGGGACCTTGTATAGTTAATGGGTAACTATGGATCAAAATTGTTTGCTTTTATTGCTTGTTGTTGATCTTCCATGCTTTATTTGGGGTGCAGAACCTCAGACCTGGGATTCCATTCTTGCCTCTTGGGGTTCCCAAGTAGGTGGTGCCTTTGTCCTTTCCCCCAGCCATCAATTGTTGGGCAAGTTCTTGACTTTGTTGCAGCTTCCCCCACCCATTCTAAAATAGGGAAATGGCTCTCCCAGGCACTAGTTACTGGGAGTTAGTACTCAAAAATGAAATACACTGGTCCTTTCCAAAAGGCCCCTTTTGCCTTTGTCCCTGCCCACCACTGGAATACGGTGCCCAAGAACATTGTGGAAAGAGGCTATGGCCCTCAGACAAAAGAGCCTCTGTACCTGCAGGCTCTGGCATACCAGCAAAGCAGGTACTATGAGATCAGTTTATGTATTTATGTGCTCACGTGCCTGCCCTATTCATCTCTTAACTAGTAGGTGAGGTTAATTTTTGCAATGAAAGGCGTGTGTGGCTGAAGAAGGGCAAACACCCCTCTCATCCCACATGCTCTCACTTGGGGCGCTTTCCTTCCCAACCCAGTTTCGGGGCTCAGCGGGGAGAAAAGAGGCGAAAGCAACCAAGCCTGGAAAAATAAGGGGGGTGGAATGGGTCTGGTTCCCCGCTCTTCTCTTTGTGACTGCTGGCGGGGGTGGCCTGCATGATACCACCTCTCCGAAAGCCGTCTGGCTGTCTAAGCACCACACTGCGCTAGCTCGCCACATCAGGCTAACAGTATAGTGGTTAGAGTGTTGGACTGGGAGTCAGGAGATCCGAGGTCAAGTCCCACCGAGACCGTGAAACTAACTGAATGATTTTTGGGCCAATCAGTGACTTGCAGCCTACCCTACCTTGCAGGGTCCTTGAGAGGATAAAATGCAAGCTGCAAAGGGCAGGAAATAATTGTATAAATGAATGGGCTATACATGTAATCATACATTTGGGATTAAAATGGGATAGAGGTCAGAGAGAACCACACTGAGGTTTGGGGCAGGGCAGAACTCAGTCTAAAAGGGGATCGTTTCCACCCTACTAATGGCCTTCTCACTCTTCTTGTGTCGAATGACAGCTCTCCTTGCCAGAATGGAGGCACCTGCGTGGACAACGATGGATTTGCACCTCACGCCTCGTGTCTGTGCCTTCCTGGGTTCACCGGACACTTTTGCGAAATTGACCTCGATGACTGCGAGCCCAACCCGTGTGAGCACGGAGGCACGTGCGTGGACGTCGGCAGGGGCTTCCGCTGCCGGTGCCCCACCGGTTTCAGGGGCACGCTGTGTGGCAGCCGCTCAGTGGCCTGTCTCAGCAGCCCCTGCGAAAACGGGGGCATTTGCCGTGAGCGCCCTGGCAGAGGTTTTAAATGCATTTGCAAACCACATTTTCTTGGGGTTACCTGTGCTGTTCCCAGTAGAAACACGAGTGTGAGTCTAGCAGCTCCGCACCAGCAGAAACACCATCGACCCCTGAAAGCTCATCACAGCCCTGTCCACATGCAAGAACGGGAAATCTTGACGATCAAAGAGACGATTGAAAATAGGCACCCTTTGCTGAGTAAGAGCCAGGGGATCTGCTTCATCGTCCTCAGTTTGCTTACTTGTCTCATTGTGCTGGGCACCACGGGGATTATCTTTTTCTCCAAATTTGAAATGTGGCTCGCCAATGCCCGATACAGCCAGCTGGTGCGCAAAGAGAGGGATTGCTTTCTGAAGACCAGGGATGGTGAAAACCTTCCCGTAAATATAATCTTTCCAGAGAAAATGTAACTGATTAACAAATGAGGATTTATCCAGCCGTCGAGGCTCCTTGTTCAGAACATCCCGTTCAGAAATGCTACATGGAGCTTGTGTGGCTCGCTCTTGTTGTGCAGCTGGTCAGCTTCTCAGTCTTGCTCATGAAAACAATGGCTGCCTTTGGGACCAGTAGATGAAGAAGAAACAATCCCCTTTTTGTGCCCCTCAGAGACATTTTCATTTCCAGTACACACTCACACAAATAGTATTGCGCAAACCCATGAATTTTAATTTAGGTCGCAATCCTATATTCATTTAAACTAGAAGTACATTCTGATGAACTCAGTGGGCCATAGTTCTACATAGGCATATATAGGCTTGAACTCCTGTTTCATTTGTGTTTTTTAAAGTTAGACACACCTTTGTTAAATAAGAGAATTGTTCTCATAATCTGTAGCATGTGTGACAATGGTGATACTTTAGATCATTTTCCATGCTTATTTTTAATAAACAGTAGTTAAGGGCTAATTATTTATTGCTTACTGCATTTATATCCTGCCGTTTTCCTAGAAGGCACTTACTCTGTGCTGCTGCTTCTCTCCATTTTATCTTTAAGGTCATGTAAGTTAGACCAGGTTAAGAATCCGTGGTTGATCCAAAATAAACCAGTGAGCTTCATAGCTCCAATGGAGCAAAGCTCAGGGAGCCAAGGTTCCATTTAGATGCCAGGAAGCACTTCCTGACAGTCAGGACCCCGAGGGTGTGGAATGGGCTTCCACGAGAGGTCATTGAGGCCCCATTGGTGCGGGTGTTCAAGGATATGCTGGACATCAACATGGTGGGCATGTCATGAGCGGAGCCGGCTGGAGCCGGGGGTCAGTCTAGATGGCCCAGGAGGCCCTTTCTGATTCGCTCTGTTTCTATGTTTCTGTAGCTGAGTGGGGACTTGAACTGGAGTCTGCCAAGTCCCAGTCCTGGGTGCTTGTTGTCCTTATTGCCACTGACCTAGGTGTTGGCTTTATGCTGGCTCAGACATTTATCAAGCTTATGCTCCATCTAGTTCATCTGGTGAGGAGCATCTTCCCTTACCTTCAAGCACACACACCTTGGAAGAGCCTTGCAGAATCAGCTTCATTCTCCAGGTATCCCGCCAGCCAGTTTTCCACAGTGACCAACCAGTTGCCTCTGGGAAACCACATGCAGAACAGGAAGTCAGTAGCTCTTGTCCTTTGGGGCTCCCCAGAAGCTGGCATTCAGTGACAGGCTGCCTCCAAACCTGGCAGGAACAATGGGCGTTGTTAGTTGCAAAGTCACGTCTGACCCATCACGACCCCATGGACAACATTCCTCCAGGCCTTCCTGCCCTCCACCATCCCCCGGAGTCCACCTAAGCTCACACCGACTGACTCAATGACTCCATTTAGTCACCTCGAACAATGGGTAGCAGTAACCATGTTTGCAGTTCGCATGGTGCTTCCTATGCTCGGAGCACTTCATTTTGCTTATGTAATCATTTTGCTTTCAACATCCATATAAGGTGAGCCATTACAGAAGACAGAATCAAGAGTGAAGGGGATCTTGATAGGCTGGAGTGCTGGGCTGAAAAGAACAACATGATATCCAACAGGGACAAATGCCAAATACTACAGCTAGGGAAAAAACCCCAAATGCATCATGACAAGATGGGAAATACGTGGCTCAACAGTATTGCAAGTGAGAAGGATCTTGGGATTGTAGATCGATAGGAGTCAACAATGTGATGTGGCTGCAAAAAAGGCCAAATGCTATTAGGCAGCATTAATAGAAGTATTACTTACAAATCATGAGACGTATTGGTTCCCCTTTACTCAGCACTGGTGAGGCCTCATCTGGAAGACTGTGACCGGTTCTGGGTACCACAGTTGAAGAAAGGTGCAGACAAGCTGGGAAGGGTTCAGAGGAGAGAAACAGGGATGATCCAGGGACTGGAAGCAAAGCCCTGTGAGGAGAGATTGAAAGAACTGGGCATGTTTAGCCTTGAGAAGAAGACTGGAGATGAGGTTTGACAAGCACTTGAAGATCTGTCACAAAGATGAGCGCCATGATTTCTTCTCAATCATTCTAGAGTGCAGGACATGGAATAATGGGCTCAAGTTACAGGGAGCCAGATTCCAGCTGGACATCAGAGAGAATGTCCTGACTGTTAGAGCAGTACAACAATGGAACCCATGATCTAAGGAGGTGGTGGACTCTCCCATCCTGGAGGCAATCAAGAAGCAGCTGGACAGCCATCCGAGAGGGATGCTTTAACTCGCTGAGCAAGGGGTTGCACCCAAAGGCCCCTGGCCCCTTCTAACTCTTCTGTGATGCTATGATTATGATTACCTCCCATTATTCCTGATTGCGGGTGGGACCTGAGGCCCATGGGGAGTGACTGAGCAAGATAAGCACTCTGAGAGACTTCCCGATTCATAGCTCAGTCTTTTGGCCTACCCCCCACCTTCAGTGTTTGGAAACTAAGGGTCCCTGTTCCCACTGTACATTAACAAATGCATTTATAGCAGCCACTGATAGACTGAGGTGTGCAATCCTATGCATGTTTAGACAGGAAAATGTTGCACGATTCCCAGTATTCCTGCCGGCCATGCTGCCTGGGGAATTATTTTATTTCATACTGTCCAATATTTGTAGGACTTTTTCTATCTAAACGTGTCCAGGACTGCATCTTAATCCTCCACAGTAAGGATGGGTAATGTGGCTCCAGCGGCCTGCTGGATACTTTTCTTTGCACCCTCCATGGTGCCCTAAATGCCCAGTTTTCATAACATGGTTTCTGACTGGCAGCTGGGCTTGTATAAAATAGGTTTCTGTTGGTGTAGGGAACTGGGTTTGCAGTTCAGACCTTGTATTCTGACTTTTGAGTAGGGTACTGGTCCTTTGTTCGCACAAGTCATTCAGTTGTGGAGCCCAGGACAGTGTCTCAAATTGCCAAATGTGCCCCACAGCCCAGCAAGGTTGCCAGCTTCTGCCAGCTTCTGCTCCATGGCTTCATCTAGTCCCTACGGCTATCCAGTGTAAAACCAGCCTCCACAAGGCATGCATCTTCCTGCAATTTATGTTCACAATCTGAGAAACTTGCATACCTCCCACCTCCCAGAGATGTGGAGCTGGTGGCTACGTAAGGCAGGGCCTTTTGTGTGATAGCACCCTAGTTTTGGAATGCAGTCTAGGCCAAACTTGCATGCTGGCCGGGTGGCTGGTTCCATTGCTTTTTTCAGCCTTTAATGGTGGATGTCCCTTTCTGAAGATACTGTTGCTCCTGGGCTTTTGGGGCGTTGCCTTCTCCGTCTAGGATTATCACAACTTGATGTATTGCATCTTGTTAATTTTATTTGTGTGTTCCCTTGATTGTTCTCTGAGCAGAGGCGTGATCCATAAATTGGCTGAATAAAACATAGGAAATATATAGCAGGTGACACGCACCACAACCCCCCAGGCTCAGTATCCTGATTTGAATTATTTCCTCTTGCAAATGGACTGCATTCCTGTGCATACGGGACTCTGCTTCCCATGTTTTGTGTTGCTTTGGGCATTTGGGAGAGAGAAGGGCAATACAGCTGCTCCTCTGCTTCACAGACTAGAGTCTGGGAACCACCTGGATTAGAAGACGTTGCTTCTCCCCTGTTGCTTCATGAGACAAAGCACTTGTGCAAAGTTCAGTCAAACTACTGTGGTCCAGCTTTGCCATCCAAAAGTAATATTTCCCTTAGCATGGAGATGATGGGAGTTTTAGTCCAACCCACTGGGAGAGCCCCAGGTTGCAGTTAGGGACAGAGAAGAGAACAGTTCCCTTTGCATTTTAATGCAAATTTACCTAATTGCACATTTCTGAGCCAATGCGCAAATCAAAGATAAGTCATCATTCAAAAAGCCTGGAAGATAACTTTGGATTATCTCCAAATTCTGCAATAGATTTTTCCAGTAATGTGTGTACAAAAATTGGAGGGATATGCATACAGAAGTGAGGATATGAATGAAATAACATTCAATGTTCTTCAATGGATTATTGTAGGAAAATAGGCTACAATTTGATAACCATGCTAGGGAAAGTCGAAGGGGTTGGGAAAGAAAGAGGCATTCTTCTTGGTGTGCATTTCAGGGCCAGGGGGACTCGGACTCCTCAGAGGAGGAGGGGGAGCCCTGGGAAACGGTCCTCCGGGCTTCTTGAAAGAAGAGGCAGGAGGACTCATCCCAAGGCTGCCCACACCAGGTGCTCACGTGGACCCCGAGAACAGACACAGTCTGCAACTGCTGGAGGGGGTGGGGAGGATGGGACAGGACCCTGGCCAGCCAGATACAATCCTGGACCCCATGGCATGGCATAGGGGGAGAAGGGGTGGCCAGCTAGAGGGGCAGCTAAGGGGCTGGCTCACCTCCAGAGGGGTGTGGCCCAGGGGTATTTATTTATTAAAACATTTCTATGCCGCCCCTTGCCGAAGCCTCGGGGCGGCTTACAACATCAAATAAAATACACAATACATTAAAACAATAACAATTAAAATATATACAGTAGAATAAAATAAGCCGCCCTGGCCAAATAAAATTCAATAATATTAACATTTAAAATGCTGCTTAAATAAAAAGGTCTTCGCCTGGCGCCGAAAAACAAATAACGACGGCGCCAGGCGGACCTCTCTGGGGAGCGCATTCCATAACTTAGGTGCCACCGCTGAGAAAGGCCTCCTCCGAGTAGCCACCCTCCTAATTTCCTTCACTGAGGGCTCCCGGAGGAGGGCCTCTCCTGCTGATCTCAAGGGGCGGCTGGGCATATATGGACGTAAGCGCTCCTTCAGGTAACCAGGACCCAAGCCGTTTAGGGCTTTATAGGTCATCACCAACACCTTGAATTGGGCCCGGACTTCAATGGGAAGCCAATGAAGCTGCCGGAGAACTGGAGTCATGTGAGTACTCAAAAGGAGGGCTCCTGGAGGTGGTTTCCAGTGTGGGTTCAACAAACTGCTCTGTGCAAGTTCAGAGACTCTCTTTGCTGACTATGCTTTGTTGGATGGGCACTGCAGAATAAAAAGCTCTTGCCCAAGAATGGCCAGTTATTTTGGAAGGGGGAAGGGGGAAACGGGGCTCCTGGCAGCAGGCAGAAGGGGAAAAGGAGGGAATAGGCAGGCAAGCTGGAAGTGGAAGCTGGAGGGAGAGGGGCAGTGCATGCCCACCTGCCTTGGATGGCAGGTGCCCCCACCGGGGCGATTCCACTGACAAACCACTGGCTGCTGCTTGAGAGGTGAGAGGTGGCCGAGATGCAGGGGGAGGGCCTTTGTTTTGGTGATGCTCAACTTTGGGTTATCTTGCCCAATGGTAAGAATGAGGAGGGGGTGGAGGAGGAGGAGGAAGCAGCAGCAGCTCTACTTCATCTTTTTTATATGCTACACTTTTTCAAAGGGAAATCTCAAAGCGGGTTGTACTTATGCACAGATGCGTGATAAATCACACTGTTCCTATTTTTGGAAGTCCCTGTGCCGTTCATGCTCAAGGCA